ATAACGACATAATAATAATAATAATAATAATGACAGCAATAATAACACAAGTAGGACATTTCGCAATTAGATGATACAGTATTATGAAAATTATTATTATATACAAACGTTCTCACAATGACTGGCCGAAAAACGAAGTCACTGTTATCAATAAAGGTGATTTTAGTATTATCTCTTATGTGGTGTCAGACTCTACGATACTTGGCCACTACAGAGAGAGATCAGACAAGTGACATAATAATTTCTGTTTATCGAGGTGTTTTCTTGTCAAAAATTAAGAAATATCTGAAACGTTGAACAGTTGCACGTTATAATGCAGAAAAAACACGGGTAGGGAGGCCCCAGTGTGCTACTTTGGCTGCCAGCGAGAGAAATAAACATGGAAAATACCTGGAAATCGTGAGATAATGAGGAGGTGTTTTTCTTACAGTAGAATTCAACCGAAATATCTAGATATCTTAAAGTGAACCTGTTATCGTCACACAATATAACGGTACTAGAGACCTATCCTAAACAATTCTTACAGTCAAGACTTAAGTACAAGTATCCAATGGTCGTCTGTCGTGTCTCAAAGTGTGATCTTAATATTCCAGTGATGTTTTTTTGTTTTTAGACCAATTTTGAGAGGAATTTTTGCACTAAGGTAAGCAACAAAAGGCGTTAAGGGGAACACGACATTTTAGTAACTTGTGATTTTTAAGATTTTCAATAAGTAACTAAATAAATAGCTACTTAAATAAACAAATGAAGAAATATAGATGGATAAAGAGACAAATACAACAGTAAAAGTTAATTTTCAATATAGTAAAAGATATGAAATGAAATATAATAATGTTAAAATGCCTAAAGAATCCAGTTTCACGTTTTTCAGTTTAACAAAGTTCTTGATCTGTCATCCCATTATGTTTCCACCAGTTAAAAAGACATTTGGCGAAGAGAATAAAATAAATCTTAATTTTTAATCACTGAACTAATTTACTAATCAAGAATAAGTACTAATAACCAGAGTTGTAAGAGCGTAGTAATATATTTTGATATCAACATCAATTAAGGAGATATAAAAATGTGATACTTTCCGATACTGTTATTACCGCCGTGCAAATGGTACTTAATACCTACCTTTTTAATACATGTTATGGACCAGGGGCTGATCCGGGGGGGGGGGGCGTCCTAGGGGTCCGGACCCCCCTTTCTATCAGGAAATTCCAATACTTTTTCTTTAATACAGTATTGTACTCAGGCGTTTTTGTATAGTAAAAAGTAATTACTTTTTACCTCAGAATATCTCTTAATATCAAGTGCACGTGGCTTTAAAATGGCCTCCAAATGCTAGCCGTGCTCGCCATGTTCCCCGCCCACAACTTCTTGGACACAAGGTCAAATAAGATAAAAAACAAAATCACAGAGGATAAAAGAGAAACATCACATCCGGAATTGAAAATGAAATTACAATGTTCCTTTGACGTTTGGAAATAGCCTCCTACTGTGCTTTTACCGACTTGATTGTATTTTGTTACCCACACACTCACCTCCAACACTCCCCTCCCCAACACCTCTCTCTCCTCCTCATCTTCTCTAAATAAAAGAATGAGAGAGAAATTGTCAAATACTAACTTGGTAGGATCACCACAACAATACGTGTAGGTTATTTCTTTTAGGCGACTCGATCACGTTTTGTAATTACCACTATTAAAATTATCAAGTGTATATGTTGTAATTTTAAACGGAACTTTAGGTGTTGTTTATAAATACTACAACATTTTCAAACTTTAATTTTCTTGGTTGATAAACAGTTTTCAGTTTCATAAAAAGAGGAAGTGTTAAAATTTGCTGTAAACTTTGGTAGACATTAGAAAAATTGAGTTTGTTGACGTCAATATTCTAACAATTTAAAATCTGACAATTTCTTGGAAGCGAATTATCAAAGATCCTTGAAATTTTCTTACTTCAATCTATAACAATGGAAGCGGGAATCAAAATCATATTAATAAAAAGTAGCAATCATTCGTGTGTACAGTATTATTGTTCTATATATAATGTTATTGTATATCAAGGGTTAACGAAATACGAGTATATGCAATTGGGTTTAATTTTCAGTATTGGTCGAGCATCACCTACATTACACAGACTCTTACGTGCAGTTAATGTCTCTCAGAGGAGGTTAAGAGGAGTGATTATGTGTAATTCCCTATCTGCCCTCCAGGACTCTCTCTCTCTTTCTCTCTCTCTCACTGTCTCTCTCTCCTCAAGTTTACTCTCTCTCTCTCTCTCTCTCTCTCTCTCTCTCTCTCTCTCTCTCTCTCTCTCTCTCTCTCTCTCGTCTTCTCTCTCTCTCTCGTCTTCTCTCTCTCTTCTCTCTCTCTCTCTCTCTCTCTCTCTCTCTCTCTCTCTCTCTCTCTCTCTCGTCTTCTCTCTCTCTCTCTCTCTCTCTCTCTCGTCTTCTCTCTCTCTCTCTCTTCTCTCTCTCGTCTTCTCTCTCGTCTTCTCTCTCTCGTCTTCTCTTCTCTCTCTCTCTCTCTCTCTCTCTCTCTCTCTTTCTCTCTCTCTCACTGTCTCTCTCTCCTCAAGTTTCTCTCTCTCTCTCTCTCTCTCCTTCTCTCTCTCTTTTCTCTCTCTCTCGTCTTCTCTCTCTCTCTCTCATCTTCTCTCTCTCTCTCTCTCTCTCTCTCTCTCGTCTTCTCTCTCTCTCTCTCTCTCTCTTCTCTCTCTCTCTCTCTCTCTCTCTCTCTCTCTCTATCTCTCTCTCTCTCTCTTCTCTCTCTCTCTCTCGTCTTCTCTCTCTCGTCTTCTCTCTCTCGTCTTCTCTCTCTCTCTCTCTCTCTCTCTCTCTCTCTCTATCTCTCTCCCTCTCCTTACACGACACCTACTTCAGTTTGCTTTCCTTCACTTCCTTTAACACTGAACAAACAAACAAACAAAGACATGAAACACTAAACAAACAAACAAATGCTTTAAGCACAACTAAACAAACAAACAAATTAAACACTAGACAAACAAACAGACATCAAACACTAAAACAAGCAAAGATATAATAAACAAACACGGTCTTCAAACATAAACAAATACTTTTCAAACAACAACAAAAAGGTTAAGATTTTACCACTAAGTCGTCTTAAAGACATCGACTGGTGCCAGAACCTTGTTTAAGACGGCCAGGCACTCACACCTTCCTCACAAGTGCTCATCAAACGCCTTCACGAGCTAGTGTGTGTGTGTGTGTGTGTGTGTGTGTGTGTGTGTGTGTGTGTGTGTGTGTATTTAGATGTCGATTATTGAGCATTATGAAGAGTAAATAAAAAACTTGAGTTGGATGAACATAGCGGAATATGACTGTCGAGAATCAAATGTGTCGAACATATTGGAAGAGGGGACGTTATTGAGTGAGTAGTCGAGTGTTGGTGTCAAATGTGGAGCAGGAAGGACAGGAGGACGGTATACCCTGAGGTGGGCGTCAGTGTGAGGGTCGAGTGTCGAGGCGGACGTCGTGGGTAACACCTCCATTATCACACATAATAATGAGGGTCTTTATTTCATGGTCAGGAGGAGATAAATGCATAGAAAATGCTAATGGTGAGGGTCGTAAACACAATAGCCTAGGTGGGTGAAGGGCTGGGAGATGCTCACTACCACACTGTAGACACAACCTCACCTCCTGTCCCTCCTACCTCCTACCTCCTGTACCTCCTTCCTCCTACCTCCTCCTACCTCCTTCCTCCTACCTCTTTCCTCCTACCTCTTTCCTCTTTCCTCCTACCTCTTTCCTCTTTCCTCCTACCTCCTTCCTCCTACCTCCTACCTCTTTCCTCCCTCCTACCTCCTGTACCTCCTTCCTCCTACCTCCTGTACCTCCTTCCTCCTACCTCCTACCTCCTACCTCTTTCCTCTTTCCTCTTCAGCCGCAGCAAATCCAAATTCTCAAAAGCTTCGGAGGAGGAGGGTTTGTTTTCCCTTTGAGTGTATCAGTGTATGTGTACCAATATAATGAAGAGTTGTGTGAACGTATCTGAGTTGTGGATTTGAGCTTAGACCTAAAAGAAGACAGATTAAGTGGTGTTGGCAGACGGGTTCTGTTTGGTACTATGGCTCGCTTGGATGTTGTTTCTGTTTCTCGTAAGTAAGTAAGTAAGTTCGAGATTCCGGGCTCAGGTTCTCTTTAGGTCAGTAAGTGCAGCCTTCCTCTCCTCCTCCACTCTAAATGTGTGTGATGGGGTTACCGAGTGTGTGGTTATCACCCCCATTATGTGCCGTTAATGAGGGAAACAACATTAATTTGTGAGAATGTCATCCTCTGTTTACGCTCATCAGGACACAAAAACTCGTGTAATTTGCGCCTCGATATATCAATTTATTTACCTCGGAAGACTATAATATACGTGTCAATTTTTGAGGAGTTTTGGGCCGAACGGATGTGACGAATTACGGCCTTAATTACCTCCACTAACAAGTCCTCTTCACTTACTCCTTTGTTCGTTGTCGTCCAGAGTAAACTTGACAGTAGGTAATTTGCACATCCTGACCTCTCGTACACTCCCTTTTCCGTGTCCAAATTTATTACAGCGGTATATTACTGGGCGGCCGTGCCCCTCCCGCCGCCACCACGGATGTCATCCATTACAGTATCGGCAGGACGCTCAGCAAATATTATTATAGAACAAAACGGAATTTATATCCTCGTACGCGACACCGGTCACTGCCTACGCGCTCCTATTTTTTGGTGTTAATTACTGGGAGGGACAGTCACTCATTGGACGCGGCGCCTCAGGTGTCGCGTTTCGCGGCTGTCGGTAATTGGTTCATGAATCGTCCAATTACAAACAGGCTTTTCATCCGGGGCGTCAATTACCGCACGCCTCCAGCTGCTGGGCCTCCCACTTCCTTACCGAGTAGTCCCGCTACCTCCCCCTCACCTGGGCACCGGCCGGGAGAACAAGCCCAGATTGCTTCACTGAGAAGCGAAATGACTCTATTTGCAACTAGTTGAGGGCTGGTGTGTGCGCGGGGCAGCAGCAACGCCCAGTTAAGTGTTGGGGCAATGGGCAGCGGTGTGCCTTGCCCCGGGATGTACCCGACGTTTCACCGCCTTATTAATGCTTTATGGTGATTTTACGGCCGTCATGTTGAAGCGCTTCTCGGGTTGGTAACTTTATATACCAGTATTATACAGGTGATTAATGCCGCCATAAGGGGAGAGAAATATCCCGTAACACCTGAGACGAATATTGAAAATTTGTTATGAATTATGAGTCTGATGTTGACCACTGGTGTATTAAATATAACTCACTTAAATAAGAGATACAAAGATTAGTTGTGAAATTAGACAGACGGACGCTATTGGGAGATATTAATTGGGGAGTTTAAGTGTTGTGAAATTAGATAGAAGGATGTTGGTGAGATGTATTAATTAAAGAGTATAAGTGTTGAGGGAGGGAGGCCAGAGCGACCAGCACCCGGCCAGACTCACACGCACACGCGAGATGTGCATTCAACACTACCGCCCGGGGACACACACTGCCACTCCCTCGTACCTCTTTTCTCGCCACATACCTCAGCCACACTGCAGCTGACTGTCACTATCTGCACCGCACAGCTTCTTAATATCCCTTCGCTTCCTCTATCTCTCAAAGAAATCGGATGAGAGAGACAGGAAGGTAAAATAAGGAAGGAAATGATTGTGTTATCGGGTGGATGCGAGGAGAGTAGCAGCATGTGGTGCGGGGCTACAGTGAGTGGCCCAGCACACCAGTCGGGGGATTGGCCGCGGCCACACCACCACTATACTTCCCTTACGGCACGCCACTCACCACCTCCACCTTCATTACTGTCCCCACCACCGCTGCCTCCAATAACTCCTGCACATTTGCCGGTAAGGGAAGGACCACTTCATTTTCTTGCTCATTATACTCTTGTTGTTTGTGGTAATTACGATACACTGTGGTGAAGAAACTTGTCATTTTCAGAGCGTTTGTGAAAATGTTGGGGAGAACTGCGAGCGGTGTTTTTATCGCTGTCTTCGGCGGAACCCTGAAATAATCTCTCGTGTATAAGAAATATGTTCGTAAGACTTTATAATTATTTAAACTACGTCTTACTTAACAGGTATTTAGGAAGACGTGTGGGTTGGCTATCGTAAAATTAGTGCATATCGCGAAGGAATCTGGAAAGTGAGATTGGCTTGCGTCTTCAGTGAGCGGTTAGACGTTCAACTTAAAATACGGAGTAGAATTAGGCTTCGAAAATTCACTTGATTGTCACACACGATCTTAGGAGAAAAAAAAACGATGTACTGTATATATCAGGGTGTAGAAATAACAGTGTTCAGTGATTATATGAACATCTTTTATTTTCGTTGTCTATTTAGTGGTCCAACGGTGTCACGAGCAAGAGAGCAAAGTGTGTGTGTGTGTGTGTGTGTGTGTGTGTTTCTGAGGTTTACAATTCACAAAACAATTTTATTTAATTCTCCTTTGTGTGAACGCCATGTCTTAAGCGACTCGGACAGAAATATACATCAAGGTGTTTTCAAATCCATATTAATGATCGTATTTACTATCTTCATTCCCGCACCCCCCCAAAAAAAAATCGTCAAGTGTAAATCAACAACAAAACTCTATTGTTATCTACCAGAGTAAACATTGCTTGTGATGCAACGCCTAAGTTTAAACACGAAATTTACTTAAGCCTCTTTAGAATCTCCTTCTATTTAACGCGAATAATACACAGTAAGACTCTCTAAAATATTCTCTCTAATAACATGCAACTCTAACAAGACCTTCCTTCATCTTGTCTTGGAATCATCACTGTATTTTGTATTTATTTATTGATGAAGAAGAATCAACGAAAATGATTCCCCTTGTTATTATATTAACATTTTGTTCCTGGTTCAAAAGGTCGTGTTTATCTGTGAATTGAAAGTGTTTGGGTTTAATGCGGTTATTTATTGTTTTAGGAAATTATTACAACCTTTAGGATTATTAATGGATCTGGGGGTTAGTGAATACAAATTTAAATGTGTTATTTTTAGTGGTTTATTAATGTTTATTTATTTTTTTACATGAAAGACGGAAATAATTTACAGCAACACCGCACCACTTACTACCGACTTTGTAAATTATCCACAAAGTACAAACACCGACTCGAGTTGACTAGCAGCGACTGTTAAACGCCCGTCCCATAACAACAACACCAGCATAGGAGAACTCAGCATTACCAGACGTATCCTTTAGCTTTGTATAAACTCCTCGTGGAAATAACATCGGGCGATTCCTCAACCACCCGCTGTCAGCTCAAGCGGCCACGATCCCGACACCACAGCACTCCTTCCCTCCCACACCACACACTCAAGAGTTCCTGCTCCCATTAACACCGCTCTTGAATGTCTGATTAAACAATGGGTGTAAAATCTACCGTAATAATTCAATATCTTCATTTCAACAATATATCTAGGAAATAAAATAGCCGAAGACAGAGTAAATAGAGTTTGAAGTAATATATTATATACACAGGTCTAAGAGGCTACACCAACACCGTTCGTTATTGTTGTCTCCGAAAACTTTCATCCGTCTCATCTTAGAATCTAATGTTAATTGTATATGTAAATTAGATATGATAAGGCGTCAGTTAACGAATAATTTATGAAGAACTATTAATTTTTTCTTAAAACTCTTACAAAAGTTTTTAGATTTTTAATTGTTTATTTTCTTTACACTGGGAGAATAATTATCTCATAAAGTATATATTCTTATTAACTTGTTTCTTTTCTTCTATATTATTATTCACCAAATATGTTGAAATATAAGAACTAAAATTAATGAGGTTTTCTAAACATCGAGGAATATATTAATTGAGGTGTTATTAGATATACTGTATATGAAGAACCGTAAAAAGATTTCATATTTATCTTTGAAATTTAATGCCTTAAAACTGCAAGATATATCAAGATAACACAAACGACCATTACACCAAGGGGTATACTGTCGTGTACTGGACAATAATTCACCCCAAAAGTCGTTTAAGTTTCATGTTTGTTAGAGAAGACTTGGCTCGTTCTGCCTCATTATGTTGTCATCACCTGTGTTATGTTTCATCTAGATACAGTCTCTTATGAGGCCTCGGGTATTACCGCAGCTAGTGAGGGTCCTTCACCAGCTGCGGCAGGTGGTGATTTTTAACCTTGTAAGTCTCACCAGTTGCGGCAGGTGGTGATATTAATCTCGTAAAATCACACCAGCTGCGGCAGGTGGTGTCCGATGGATGGCCGCATCCTCCTGCTACTGCCGTCATGTGGTGCGTGGAGGTTGATGCCGCAGGACTTGTGGGAAGGCCGGCAGACACAGCTCATTAAGGCGGCAGGTAGGCGAGCAGGTTGATAGGTAAAAGGGTACGCAGGTAGACCCCATGAGTACTTGGTTAATTAAGCAAGTGTGTAGGTAAGGTGTGTGGGAGAGGTAAGTAGGTGTGTGTGTTATGCAAGTGAGTGGGCAGGTAAGACTGTGTGTGTGTGTGTGTGTGTGTGTGTGTGAGAGAGAAAGAGAAAGATAGAGACAGAGAAAGCATCACAATTTCTATAAGGTAAAGAGATATCTCGTTTCCTTTGTCTCTGAAAGTCTCACAAGTTGAAAGAGTGAAAGGTAGAAAGCATGTAATTAGAAAACCTCTCAGAAGAAAGCCTGTAAATAGAGACCGTGTAAATAGAAAGCCTGTAAATAGAGACCGTGTAAATAGAAAGCCTGTAAATAGAGACCGTGTAAATAGAAAGCCTGTACATAGAAAATACTATATATATTTGGTGTACTTGACGTGTTTTAACAGCTAGGGGTCTCTAAATCACCATTTTTTAAGCCTTGGTCACTACATTATATATAACTAAACAACTATTGTCTTATTAAGATCTATTGAAATTTCTATAATACATAAAACTGTATTAAAGTCAACTGTATTATAAGATCCACAAATATACTGTAACCGTTTCAATACTCTATTTTTTTTTACTATAATTTAATTGGGAAAAAAACACCATTCGAATATTACAAAAATCGGTAACTGTCCAGGTACATCGGTATTTAATTCTAGTTAATGAGACAGGTAAAGGTCGACATCCTAATTAACTACCGGTCTGTGAAATCGAAATTACAAGAAACTATTAATTGAAGGAAGTATTAAATATAGATAATTAGGACAAATGAATGCCTTATTAGCTGGAGGAAGAAGGAAAGGTTATTACCTAAGGATACATAAAACTCTACTAATTGGGACAAATGAGTATGTAATTAATTGAGACAAGTAAACTACAATTAATTAAAGACAATTTGTAGAAGCTATTGTCTTGAGATAAAAATGAGCTAGAGTGAGATAATTGCTATATAATTAAAACAAATAAAATACTACAGTATAACTTAACTCAAATAAAATTATATACAAGGGTGAATAAAAATAACTAACTTGAAAAATTAAACTATTAATTATCAAACAAAATGAATCGTAGCCATTAAAATACCTGATTAATTAGACAAATATGAATAAAACTAGGCAATTAACCTACAGTATATGATTAATAAAGCTAAATAAATATACAATTAATCAGACTAATATTTATATTTATATATATATATATATAAATGGAAATATAAATAATTAATAGTGACAGGTGAAAAATATTAGTGATGAAGGTAACTGAAATCAATTAATTTAGATAATATAATTAAACAGAGAATAGAAAAACAAGTACAGGAGTTAGTGAAATATAAATGCCTCAAGTAGTTAATTAATTCCAACTAAATGATATACAAATAAAAGTAATTAACTAGGAATTAAAATATCTAATTACTGAAGCTAATAAAAATATTTAATTGGGATTTTAAGTTTTTTTAGCTGAGAAAATGGAAATGAATACAAATATAATTAAATGGTACACGGAACAGCGAAATTAATCATTATTTTAGATAATTAAAATGTAAATTACACAAAAGAGGTTCCGGATAATTTTGAAATTACTTAGATAAGAAATAGCAAAGTGACTCATGATACAAACGAGGAAAACCAAAATTACAAAAAAGCGAACAAGAAAATGTTTTAAAAATTTGTCAAATGGACGTAAATAATAATAATAATAATAATAATAATAATAATAATAATAATAATAATAATAATAAAAATAATTATGAAATAATAATAACTAATACTAATAATGAAATAATAATAGTAATAAATAACAGTAATACTACTACTACTACTACTACTATTAATAATAAAATTAATAATAATAATAAAATAATACTACTACTAATACTAATAATGAAATAATAATAATAATAATTAATAGTAATACTAATACTACTACTACTACTACTACTACTACTACTAATAATAATAATAATAATAATAATAATAATAATAATAATAATAATAATAATAATAATAATAATAATAATAATAATAATAATAATAATAATAATAATATTAATAATAATAATAATAATAATAATAATAATAATAATAATAATAATAATAATAACGATAACAATGACAACAATAATAATAATAATAATAGTAATAAAAGCAAAACAAATCAAAATTAATAAAAGCAATATATAGAAAATTCAGTTCAACTCGACCAATCAGATGAATGTTGATGTTTGAATGTTTTTGAACACCAAAGAATTTTAAGGACAGAACAGGTATATATTTTTTTTTTACGTTAGGCAACCACTGAAAAATAAATTTGAATTAATTTTCATAAAATGTTTATTGTCACTATATATTTTTTTTTTGGGGGGGGGGGGAGTATTTTAACAACTCCAGTCTTTAAGTAACTATGTTTAAAACTAATTATATTCTAAACAAATATTCTTCAGTATTAACAAATGA